TATAAGAAAAGCCCTAAAGGTTGATTATCAGCTCAAAGCTACAGAAATAAGAAGAAATTAATTTAGGGCTTCTGAGGAAAAACTTCTCTTGTATAGTGTGTGTAGTCGTACTTTAATAATCTTTGTCTGATGATGATACCTGACGTATTGAAACGTTACATAAATTTTCAATAAATTATAAATATCAAATTTAAAGTTGCTGTGAACTTGATCAGATTTTGCTTCAAAATTGTGTCCATACGAAAAGACAATTATCTACAAGAGTTACAAAATCAAAAATGTTTCCCATCTACGACTATATTCTAATGATAACTTACATCAAAGATGCTTTTCAATATAACACTAGGTTCCCACTCCAGCGATATTTCGTTTTGGAATACAATTAATTCTGAAGTCAAACCGGCTAAACTGACAACTAATGTGCTTGAAAAATTTAGTAAAGATATTTTTTAGAATGATCAATTCTATATGGTGAAACTATAAGAAATAAACATACTTCGTAACTTTGATGTTAAACTGGTTTCTGTAAAACATTTTTCAAAAATCAAAATTCTAAGAAACTAACGTTTTGCACATTTTGCATTGCCAAAAGTTTCGTAACTTTTCAATTACATTTGACTGTTTAATCATGAGTTTGAGCTGATAATCGTAATGTTCCAAATTATATTCTTTCACTATGTAGAAAATATATTGCGATTCTTTACAACTCATCAATTTATAACGATATTTTCGACAAAAAGCTAAGCACGAAATGGGTGGGAAAAATGAAAAATATATTTTTTCATGGCTGTCAGAGACAATGACTCTCCTGTTTTTAATCAATTGGAAAATAAGCTAAAGTTTATGGAAGAAAGGTTACTTATCCTGCTCTAGACTAACTTCTCATAGACTAATGTTATGGGTAAGAATCCTTCAATACTAAATATTCAAATGGTAGTTATTTCTTAACGTTAGCTGCTAGACAGATGGTTTTACCGTCGACTAGAACGAAGTAGTTTCATATGAGTAGTTAGCACTGAGTTTCATATTTTGAGTCTCATTCAGATTCCTCCGGTAAGAGTTTTTGGTAATGAAAAATTCGAATTTTAAAAGCGGTTGTTGTATTTCTTCTAACATCATTAAAGAATAGCTTGCAATGTCATTTGAATCACCCACGGCGATTGCTTTCTGACATTAAACTTCACATTCTTGACACCTTAAATTCTTTTATTTTTAATCAGCTCATTTTCTCTTACTTATTACTTACACTCTATTTGATTGTTTTATGCCAACACAATGTTGATCGCACTTGTACTATCAAGAGATATTTAGTATTTATTTTTTTTCACACACACACATAACACCGATAAAGAGGTAGAGTCTCTAAATTCTTTTAATTTTAGTGAGCTATATTTTCGATTATTCTTAAGAATATTTTTTATAATTTTTCTTAATCACTCTCTTTTTCTATTCTTAACTACTTTTTTTCTTATTTATGAAAAAAAGAGAAAATAGCACATATTCTATCTTTTGCCATCACTGTTCGAGAATTTTTGTTTGGAAACAATTAGCATACAGTTAAGATATATATATATATATAGTATGTTTATGTTTGTTCCCCAATGTTTTTCGCCTTTCAATAAAACATGCAAACTAATGATCATTAGCAAACAAAAGAATCAAATAGGTTGAAAATGTTTTGTATAGTTGTAATAATAGATCATAGTTATTAGATCTATAGATTATAGATCCATAGATTATATAGTATTGTTCAAAATTATAGAATTACCCCATTTTTTCTTTCCCTAGTGAGTTTAACTAACTTTTGGCGGAATTAGTAGAAAGAGCATGAAAAACACTGCGTATAATCGATATATCTTAATTGGCATTGGTATAATTCTTAAGTCGATTTTGAGAAACGCTTTTCTGTAACACTTCTTGTAGATAAGTTTTAAAGTGCTCAAAGATCAATGAGAGAAATAAGCAAAAAAATGTTTCTCCTTCATAGTATTAGAGAGCAAAGTTAGATCTATCAAACGAGACGTTCTGCAGTTCTCTAGCATGTAGAATAAACGAGTTAGCCACAAGTACAAGATAGAAGTCACTTTTTTCCACGATAAAACCATTCAAATATAGCATAATGTTCCTTTTTGATTATGTGACCGTGGCTAACTCGTTTATTCTACATGCTAGAGAACTGCAGAACGTCTCGTTTGGTAGATCTAACTTTACTTTCTAATACTATGAAGGAGAAACATTTTTTTTTTGCTTGTTTCTCTCATTGATTTTTGAGTACTTTAAAACTTATCCATAAGAAGTGCTACAGAAAAGCGTTTCTCAAAATCCACTTAAGAATTATACCAATGCCAATTAAAATATATCGATTATACGCAGTTTTTTTCATGCTCTTTCTACTAATTTCGCCAAAAGTTAGTTAGTTAAACTCAGTAGGGAAAGAAAAAGGTGGGATGTGTCTATAATTTTGAACAACACTATATAGTATTTACTATTTATCGATCATGATTTTTTTGAAATAAAACTGTTTTATATAGATGGTGCAAATATTGAAGTTTAAAACAAGGATACTGTATATTCTAGTTTTTCTCGCGTTTTTAATATGAATTTTAGAATCAATAATTTAGATCACTACTTATTATCAACGTCAATTCAAATAATAATCGCATTTGTCAACAACAAAAAACGAAAAGATAAAATATGAATGATCTAATATCGTTAAAGTTGTTCAAAAATTGAATTTTACAACATTTATTAAATTTTAAAGTAACAGTCTATATGATTATTAGAATGTTTCTCAAAATTATTATACAGGTATACGTGCGTGCTTTTTTAAAATATATCAGAATAATTTGACACTGTAGCTAACATATGATGATGTTTAATCTCGTTGAACACGGATAAGGACATATTCTAATCTGATATTTATGAGTCTTGTCGAAGAAAAGACAAAAATTCGTTAGAAGTGGGTCTCAGCAGTCTTTTAGAATCATCAGTAGAGGTGGGATAATATTAATTTTTCTTTATAAAATGATCTAAAGAAAAAGTATGAAAATAATAGAATGTTTTTTATAATTTATATTTTTGTTTGAAAACAAAAAACGAAATAGACAGAGAATTAGACCAATAGCATCCGGAATGAATACAAATTTATTAGAAATAAAAAAAATATGTTTATCACTTCAATTATGACAAAATATATTATTGAATAGGGCTATTTGAGAACAATAGAACAACAATAAATAAAAAAGAAGTACCATAATTCACTCACGATCACCCTATTTCTCTCTTTCTTCCTTTCTCTCTATTAACGAAGAATTCATTTTGGTACACAAAGCACATGGGTGCTTTAATATGAACGATAAAAAATATGAATTAAATATAAAGACGCAAAACAGATGATTCAAAAACAACTTAATGATCGCGTGATGCAAAAAATATCTTTATCTCTAATAATAACACCATTTTGTTTGCTTTCGACTGTCTGAAACGAGATCTATTATCAAATTTTTTGCTTAAGGAGGCTGATATGTACGGCAACTCCAAAAGATTCACTCCTCAAATTCACTTGGTAACGATTAGTTCTTGTTTCGCCGACTCACTCTCACACCGCCCTTCCGCCTTTGATATTCTTTGAAGCCATATTCTCGTTTCGCCGACTTTTTGAAAAAAAGTCGGCGAAACGAGAAGACATCCTTGGTAATTGAGAAACGAGGTTCCCGCTTATGCAATATTTAAGTGACGAGATTTTATCATAGATTTTATACGAGATTTTATCATAGAGCCACTACAAAGTGACCACAAATTCAGAAAAGATTCGAGACTATATTCAATACCATGCCAGATTGTAAAATACAAACATGAGATTGACATAAACAACAGCCATGACCAAGTAAGAAAAATCATCATTTATTACAAATTGTTAATAACAAAAGGAAATGTTTGAAACTTTATTAAATGGTTTAGATTCTTTTAAAAAAATAAATATAATTTTTTACACATAGTAACGATGTGATGAAATTTGGATAAGGCTGAGAAACTTTGAAAATCCATTGAAAGAAGCAAAATATTTTTAGAAATCAACAAGATAATTAAAAAAGAAAAAGTTCTTCAATCTGTTTAGTGAACTAACATAATGTTAAGATTATTTCTATAGACAACGGAACAGAAAAGGTATGTACCTGTTTCAACTTTAAAAGTATCATATTACAAGATGATTGTTCTATAGGAGAGTGTATCTGTTTATTACTGTTGAACGTTTACTATCACAAGTTTTGTCATTGGAATAAACGATCACTGATTTATTTGTTCTTAACCTTTTACGTTCTACAGCTAATTACGTAAAGTAGACTTGAAACTCTTTGGAAAAAAGTTTTCTTATTAGCAATTACTAACTTATGATGTCAACTTACGTTAGAAGATAATCCGTTTTTTTTTATCAGACGCATCGTCATCTATCTGTAGTAATTCTACGATATTCAATAATGTTCATCCCAGTGGACATTGAGTCTTAAAGAGTTAATCGAAGCTAACCTCGTGTGAAAATGGCCATAATGTCTTTTAGCCACTAATGATGAATAATGTAACATCAATATTGTCAAAAAACTATTTAAATTTATGTAAATTAAATAAAAATGTGTTCAGTCATTTTTCAATTAGTGAATGATATCTAAAGTTGTTTCAAGTAATTTACAATATTCAACAATTGATTGATATTCAAGATTAACGCATAAACTTGGTTCAAATAATTTTAATCATTCTTCTTCATTTATAAGATCAAGAAACAAATGAGAAAAATTATAAAACAAAACAACATTAAAAAAAAAATAAAAATAAAAATCCCATGTGACAAACTAATGCACAATTGAAAAACATTCATATAGTCACGGCCAAAATGAAGAATAGAAAAAGATCTAATCGATTTATTCTGTTAAATTTACAACAATAATTTAGATAAATATACGAATAATAATAACAATGATAATAATAATAATAATAATAATAAATTATTCTTTTCTTCGTGACTTTTGCTGCTCAGATAATGATGTATCAGTATTGACTGATGATGATATTTGCATTTTTTTAAACATTTCAATGAGTTGTGTTTGCTCTGGTTTTCGAATAGCCTAAAATAAAATATAAATTTAAATTTTATCAAAGTTAAAATAACAAATATTAATATACCTTCATTTCTAATACTTTTTGAAATGCTCCCACATCTGTATCATTCATAAAACGTAAATAATTTTCTACAAACGCTTTTGTTGAATCATGTGGTGTTAGAACAGCTTTTAATATCATTTCAGCTTTTGTCATACCTTTGAGAACAATTTTTGTAAAACTAAATAAGAGATAAATAAAAATTTAAAAAAAAACAAAACAAAATAAACTTAAATATGAAATACTCACTTTTGAGGTGCTTTACGAGAAACAGTTAAACTTATACTAGGAAGATCTAATAAAACAGTTTTGAGTGAATGTGTATCTAATAATAATTGTTCAGCACCAATCATATTAATTGGTTTACAACGATATAAATGATTAATAAATTTTGGTATAAATGAGCTAAAATAAAATATAAAATAATAATTTTATTTTCTATTTAGATAATCAATAATTAAATAAAAATATTTAATACCTAACAAATGTACTGCAAAATTGTGCAAAATATTTTCGTGAAGAGACAAGATGATCACGAATAATAGGTACTATTGTTTTTAAATGATTAATAATTGATGTAACATACATACTTTGATCGCCAACCGTTTCAATTGTTTGCCATGATAACTAAAGAAATATAATTATATTTTATGTTCTAAAAAAAATAGAAAAATATAAATATACTTTTGTCATTGCAGTTAGACCTGGTTCACAAGCATTTTCAAGATCCTGTATCAAAATTTGAATACAATGTCCTATCGTTCTATAAAAAAAAAAATTAATTTAAAATTTATACTCATAATAAAAAATAATTGTCTTACGTTTTATAAACATTTCTCTCAGATTCAAAGTTTATTTTTTCTACTAATGTTTTGTTTATTTTTTCTTTCATTTTCTCTTCTAACTAAAACGAGAAAACAAAGAATAATATATATATTTTTTCTTTTTAATTATTGGATAATTGAGTACTTGTTGAATTGTTTCAACACAATATTCAGCTGTACATAATATCGAACATGAACGACATATTTCCGGTTCATTTAATTTTGCTATTGTTTCACCTTCTCGAAGCATATTAGCAATATTTGGAATATTTTGTAAAAGAATAGTCGCTGTTGCTAATGTTGATGCACTTGTATTTGTTCTAAAAAATAAATTCAATTTCATCTTTTTCTTAATTTAATAATTCAACATGTACAAATGTGAAATTAGACAAAAAATTATTAGATAAAAATATTTCACTAATCAATATCTCATAAACTATCAGAGTTATGGATTCAAAATTTTGTGTAAATAGAGAATTTAAGTAATCTCCTGACGTTTTCTTGCATTAAATTTCAATGATGATTATCAGTAATTGTCAATAGAAAAAAAAATTTCATTTGTTAACCCCTAATCAAATAAAAGCTATTTTATTATTTATGATCAATTATAATATATTAGACGTATTAAAAAAAATAATAATAACCAGAACTCAATCTGGAAATATCGATAGTAAAACTTAGAATGCCAAAAATGACTGTTAAATATAAAATGACTTTTATCTAGTACAAGCCATATCACATGAAATTTATCATCGTTATATTTTGATGCACGAATCGGATGTTTATCTTTTCTGGTTCATAAATTATTTACATTTTGATATTAAAAAAACAAAAAAAAAAAAAAAAAAATAGAAATGAAATACAGTCCCAGATGATTGAATCGTACTACCCGATCATACAAGATCGTATACGAATATGTACGATTTACATACGAATCGTGATATCTGATTTGTCATCTGGATCGTATAATACGATCGTACAGCACGAACCAGATGACAAATCAGATATCACGATTCATATTTGATTTTCATACGATTTGGTACGATTTTGTCTGATTCAGATATGATTGTATACGATTTGTTTGACCTGGGGTGCCAAATGGCTTGAAATTTGTTAGGTGATCAGCATCATTTCTCTTTTTTAATTTACTGAACCCTGGATAGATATTTAATTTTTCGAAAATAAGTTTACTTTGTATGTTTGTCTTCCGAACAAAATTTTCAATTTCTTGTGAAACAGATGGTGTTGTTATTTCGCTTTACATTTTTCTCTGTTCATTTATATTAAAAGTTGAATAGATCGGACTTGAAATACAAAAGCTCAAGTTCGAGTCCGAGTCCTTCAAAAATAATCTCCAGTCCGAGTTCGCCATAGAATCTTCTAGTTCGAACTCGGACTCGCCCATGTCTGATCAGCATATTGCTTAAATTCTCTATTCATACAAAATTTTAAAATTTATAGCCATTAGATTTTATAAGATGATACAGAGTAGTGAAATAATTTTATCCACAATTATTTATACATACTTTGGTAAATTTGCATTTAAAATTCGATTAGCATATTCTCTTAAATATTTTTGAAATGTTTGAACTAATAATAATAACGGTTGTCCAGTACTTAATTTTGAACATTGTACAAGACAATTACGAAAATAAACAAATAAATCTGCACTACTCTGTAATACATTGCTTGTATCTTCTCCTCCCTCAAACGATGGATAACCTTCTTTTTTTAAATCATCAATAAATTTTTGTATTTGTTCAGCTAAACTTCTGTATATAGAATAAAATATCAATAAATAAGAGGGAAGAGAGTATATTAAAATATTTTTAAAATTTTCTTACCTATCTAATTCTTGTATATAAATATCTAGATGATCTTCAAAACATTGTGAAATAATACCTTGAAATGGTGATGTTTTTGATTGTAAAGGATTTTGTAATAGTTCATCATTATCTGTAACAGTTGTTTTCACTGCTGGATCTAACTAGAGAAGAAATTTAATGAATAAAAACAATTTTTAAATATATGAAAAAATATTCTATACCGTTTAAATTTAGATGAGATGTAATAGGATTATTTGAATTAAGTGTACGACCATGAAAACGTTTTTCAACAATTGATTCAAATGCAACAGTTTTCTCAATGGCAAATCTTAACAATTTAACATCAATTTCATGTTTACGTTTTAACATTATATTGGCTAGTTCACGTCTAAATCGATACAAAATGATGACATAAAATAATAATAGAGAGCACATACGCACACAACTCACCTAGTTATTTTACAAAATTCAACAGTTAATCGTTCGGCCATTTCCCAATGTACTGGAAATATTTTTGAATGTTTTTCATCATATTCAACGAGTGAACGTTTGAGCCAAGCATAACGACGATCAATTTTATCTAACCAAGCTAACTAAAGAGATAGTCGAACGAATGTCTTTTTATCTTATTCAAATTACTCTTATAGTTTACCTCTTGAGACTCTTGATATAATACAGTATATTCAGATAAATGTGTTTTCAAAAACCAATTAATAACTTCAAGTCTATAATAACAAAAAGAAAAATAATAAGAAATAATCATAGCATATTCACAAAACAAACCTAATTTTAGGATCAATAACATCGATTATTTTACATACATCAGAAAAATGTTGATTTGGTGTAAAATTCTATTAATAAAATAAAGATAGAACTTCAAAAAACTAACATATTTCATAAATAATAACTCATACTTTTGCATTTGGACCGCTCAATGCATCTTCACATTCTTTACGAACTTGTACAGTAATTTGAGCGGTTAAATCTTTTACACTGAAATTGTAACCATAAGAGAATTAGAATCAAGAAATATAAATAAAAATAAAATAATGTACTTTGTAGCTAATTCTTGAATTTGCGGTATGGTCATATACGGTTGAAAATGTTCGAGAACGCTAATAACTTGATGTAAAAGATTGGCTATTTCCCCATAAGATTTTTTCTTTGTAGCAGCTCTAATATTATATATAAAGACGTATGATTGCACAAAAATAGTTTACTGTGAAGTTAGATGATACACTTACTCGATTTTATCAATTCCTTCTATGAGCATTTGTAAATGATTTAAAGTTGTTATTGAATTTGTTAAATTCTTTTTTGCCACATCCAATTGTTTGATATCTCGCGTAATTTCTTTTACCTAAATAAGCAAATATCTTTCAATATTAGTCAAAAAATAATTTTACATTTACCATTTCTTCTGATTTATCGGCTTTTTCTTTAATTTCACGCATTTGTTGAAATAACAATAATATTGAACTTTGTGCTTCTTCGAGTGCTTTATGCTCATCTATTTCATTACCAGCATGACCACGTATAACCAAACGAATATCATTATCTAAATGCCTTAAAAAGAACTAAACATGACGGAATGTGTCTTTCTTTCCTCAAAGATCTTACCTAATATTTGATTTAATATTCAAAATAGCATCATCAATATTTGCCAAAGATTGTTCTGTTGGAAATTTTTGATTTATATAATCGACAGGATTAAAATCAGGTTTATCAATATCTTCCGTACATGGTAAGATCTAAATAAAAAAACGATTAAAAATTGAAAATAAATAGAAAAGTTATTTAGTACAATACAAAACAGATCGGTACCTACCTGATCAATTGCTTGTTGAACTTCTGGAGGTAGAGTAAGAGCTTCGTATCGATCATCATCTTCAAAGGTATCATCGTCATCCATAACTGTTGTCATCTAAAATTATGATGATGAATCAGTAAAATTAACTAAACACAGTATGAATATGATACACATGGGAATATATCAGATAAAGTATCAATTGCTAATTTTTTATTTTAATTGATAAAACTTTTCTTTTGAAAACAATGATTGTTTTTACTTGCTAAAACACGGTCCAAATTCAATTTTGTTCTCTCGTTTTAAAGATTAGTATACGCTGTGAGCTTACACCAGTTTTAATCTGATATTCAGGACTGGTTTTAGCGGGGAGGAGAGGGGGGGTAGCCTCGCGCCAGCCCTGCTGATATTTTTTGAAAAATCTTCGTATCTTATTGATTTAAACTTTAACCTTAAATCAAAACGAATATAAATTACCATTAGATCATTCTGAAACTTAAACTCAACCAATGTCTGCATGAAACCAGAATTGAACACATGAACTTGATTAGAATAATATGGATTTTATAATTATGCCTTTGCTGATAATTGATTATAATGCGAAATAGCTTTTCTTTAGCCTGATTCTCAAATTCTTTTTTAGGTTGAAAAAGTGTACACATTCTATGTCGCTTGTATAGCTTTAGATAAAATTATTAGAAAAACGTTGTACTTTAGTTTGTTCTTACATATAAGAATGATTTATTAAGAATAATTTTCTTTTCTTTTTTTTATGTACAATGGCGTCAAGAAAAAGAAAAACTATGCAATTTTACCACAACTGAAACATACAGATACAAAGAAAAATTATTAATTTTAGTTACACTGGTAAGACTATTCACAAACGCTTAAAAAAACAAAGTTTGCGTTTTTTAGATTATCTTTTTCCGAAAAAGTAAACAGATAGTACATAAAGCATAAATATAAATATTTGAGCAATGTACAAAAAACACATATTCTCCGTTTCTGCTAAAGCAAAGATAGAAAATCTGTTCAAAGCGATAATACTGCATATATATATATTACAAAAAAAAAAGAGTAACACAAAAAAGATCACACATGCTTCAGTTTATATACAAAAAAATGCAAAGAGAAACAGCACGATATATATAATATAACCTGATGAGTAAAATATGTTCAAAATAAGAAGTGTAGTATATTATGGATATAGACATAATTTTTTCGAAAATTTATCAACCCATTTTTTCATCCAGCAAAAATTTGTTGATGGAAAACGAAATTTTCTATGTGGATTATGAAAAGTACGTGAACCACAGTTAAACGATGATGATTGTTCATCTACTTTTGGGTTTTCTGTTAATAATGTGTTTTTCCATGATGGTGATGATCGTTCACGTTCACGTAATGTACTCCGTCGAAATGTCCATCGCCATGGTTTACGTTGTTGTTCTCCTTGTTTTTCATCCAATTCTGTACGTAATTGTTTACGCTGAGTTGCTCTTGAAAATAACCAATCTGAATAGGTGTTTTGCATTTGTTGAATGGATGATGTTAAATCTTCTTTGATATTTGTTAATGTTGTACGAATATTTTTATTATGATCCGAATTAAACCGATGCAATTTTGATTTTAAATCCTCTACATACTGTTGACGTTTATCGACAAATGAATTAACAGATGAAACAAAATTTGACAATATTGTGTCATTGTTGAAATCAATTATTGTTGAAGTTTTCTGTACAATTTTTTCAAATATTGATTTGTTGGAATCATTGTCAACGTCACACTGTAAACATAAGAAAAAAGCGATAATGATGATAATAATATATACATAAAAATTAATGATAATGATCGATGATAAAATAAAAAAAATTCTGTTACTATTCTCACTCCTGTTTTCAGAAATAGTTTTAATCTATTTAAAAAAAGTATCCGAACTCTTACATCAATTCCATCACATTTAGATGACGACGAGAGATTCTTTTTCACCAGATTCATACACTGTGCATACTGTTTTTCAGTCGTATTTATCCGTTCTTGTAACAATTTCATATCGCGGTTCAATTGATCATGATCTTGTTTTAACTATTAAAAAATAAACGAATAAACATTGTGTACAAGAATACCCTAATGATATCTCATTCTTGCCTACCATATCAAAAGATTTTGTCAAATTTATCTGAGTTAAATTAAACATAAATTGTAGATTGTCAATATAGTTTAATAAGTTTGCTTTTTCATTTTCACGTTGTTCTAATTTCTCTTGTAAATTGCGTATGATCATTTCATTGACTTTTTCATCATACTAAAATGAACAAAAGATATGAAAATATGCGAAACAAAATAGTGATTGATTGTACGCGATACATACCATTTTGGATATTTTTTGACTAACTTCAGACATTAGTAATTTTTCATTTGTTTTATAGCCATGAATGTTTTCTTCAGCATCAGCTAATTTTTTAGTCAAATGAGAAATACGAGATGAACCTACAAACATAAGAATATTAAAATATTTTGTCAAAGAAACAGAGCAAGATTGTATTTACCATTTAAGTGACCAATACCCAAGAAAAATGCAGCCACAAAAGCAATAAAAACAAGAAGATCAAGTGAGATAGTGAAACGTTGAGATGATTCATGTCTTCTCGCGTTATAATGAAGGTAATTTCTTATTTCACGATAACACTTTGAAGAAACGTCAACTTCGTCTTCATCTTCAGACACTACTGGTACTGTTTTTTTTGTTGTTTGTTCTTCTAATAACAGCACATCATGCACAACGGGAATATTCTCAGAAGTAATTACTGAACCGAGACCATTTTCTACTACTGATTCATCCATAGGAGACTTTTCTTCAGAACCTAAATTTAGAAAGTATATAATATCCTCTTTTACAGTACAAAATATACTAACCAAGATCATCATCAAAACGCGCACTTGTCTGACGAACATGAGGTCCCGTACGACGACTACATAAAAAACATAAATAATAAATATGCTCTGTCTGGCGAAAGAAGGATGGTTTATCAAACATTACCGTAACGCATTTGACAATTTAATTGATGACGATAGAGATGGATCATCATCTTCATTTTTGCATATAGTAATAACAGTGTCATTTGAAAGGTTTAGTGGATTTTGAGATAAAAGTTCAGTCAGTAGTTGAAAATCATCAATTGATGATAAATCATTGAGTTGTACTGGTGAAGATAAAATTGGAGGGTTGGACGTAGAATTAATATCATCTTGTTCATCACTGATGTTAATGGCATTATCTGAATCAGTTAATGAAATGATACTAGCATTATTTTGATGAGATTTATTTGTGGTATCCATATCACTGAAACAGAACAAAGGCGACGGCATTTTTTATCATGTCGTGATATGAAGCAAATACTTGGAACTATCGGCATCTGATGATAACAAACTCTCCGATTGTTCGATTAATGAAGATGATTGATGAGAATAATCGTTACAGGATAACTTATTGTCATTATCATCATTGTTTGAAGTGAATGAAAATGAACGATCACTTAAAGAAGTATTTTGTTCACTTATAACAGATGAATTACTAATAACACTGTTGTTATTCTCAAGTACTGGTGTTATTTCATCAGAACCTTCAATTTCATCCATATTCGACTCGTCAAATGTGACACAAAGAGGTATCAAATTACTTTCGATTAGATTTGGTTTATTATCATGCGAAATGCTTGAATGTTCATCATTGATGGGACTATAATCGAATCTAAACAAGAAAAACACAAGTTGTTCGATGGAATTATAGCACTAAGTTGAATATACTTACTCTGTCGATGAAATAGATGCTAACGATAAACTTCGAGACGTTTTTGATGACGTTGGTGTTGAAATATCCGATGATGAATTTGTGGTTGACGTTGACGTAGTTGAACACGTTGAACATGTCGATGATTCATCAGAAAATCTTTCAAGATTACTCGCAGCTTGACTTACCTAAATAAAAAGAAATGCTAACAAACAAATACTGTATTTGGAACAGTGCATACTGGTGATGTATTGGACACTAGAATCCAATCTTCATTGTGAATATCTTCGTTTGACGCATACATCTGCAAAAACAAAAAGAATAAAATCAGAGAGTCATCTCAGCTTCTGTTTCAAATAGGACTGCAAAAATTGGAATGGCTTGGATGGGTTGCACTCCTGATGAGGTAGAGCATTCGAAAAACGATCTGCAAGTGCAGCAGAAGCAAACTTCAGTTTGTTTTGTTATGTTTATAATATATAACCTTGTACGTTCATCGCATATCCTTATGTAGCTCTTAAATCTAAGGGGCACTTAAGCCTGGGCTTAATCTTATTGAGAGTTGACTTAATTCTTGATGTTTCATCAAAATCGGCTTGAGTTTCATGAAACATCAGCTGAAATTAAACATTGACTTAATACAGTTTTAGACAGTTAAGTCTAATGAGCCTTTATATATACAAAGTTTTACGGACTCTCCGTAAAATGACACTCAAATACATAAAACAAACATTGACTTAAATTTATGCTTACGTTCATGACCTTAAGGATACTGATGAAAGCATTCCCTAAGCTAAGATCTGAGACAAATTTCTAGTCCTACCGTCTTTCAGCTGATCATCAGAGTTTTGAACGATTTTTAGAAATTTTTTAAGTCATCCTTTAAAATTCTCAAAATAGAAAAACATTTATTCTGAGATACTTTTTGATGTATTGATAGAGATGTTAACCGATAGACTTTTTGTCGGCGTCGGCGTGCAGAACGCAAAAGAAATTTGCAACTAGCGGCGGACGTAGTGTTTATTTCTACAGAAATTTTGACCTTTGGCGACGGACGTAGTGTTTATTTCTATAGAAATTTCGACCTTCGGCGGTGGTAGTCAACAAATTTGCTGCATCGGCGGCGCGGCTAACATCTCTATGTATTGATAAGTGGTCATGACTGAAGCAGGCCCGTAGCCAGAATTTTGCTGATGTAAATCGATATACCGGTTTTCTTGCATTATGTTTTTTTATTTGTACCGGTTCTGATTCCAATACAGTCGTCTGTGCGACAGTGACCGATCCAGAAAACTAACAGGACGCAAAAGGATCTTCACACCGGTTTGCATCAATGAAGCGCGCGAAAACAATATATCTCTTGCCACAACTCATTTAAACTCATTTAAGCAACCGAAGTAACTTTTTAGGGACTGGTAAAATATTCTCTTGTTCTCGTTCACGCTGTCATTCCTAATAATGTCTTTTGAAAAGAGATGAAAGTTCGAACCTTATCTCGTCAGTGATTTCTTTAGAAATTAAATGTGATTGTTTTCATAGCAGTTAAATAGCAATTTTTACTTATGGGGCGTGCCTGGACACTCCCCCTAGCTACAGGCCTAGACTGAAGCCAGTTTTCTGATACTCATCGGTTCGCGGCTATCTATTCAATACATTACGAAACCTTCACGATTTCTTACCGTTTCAATGTAAAATAAATTATTATAGGCACAACCAAATAGAATATTATACGTATGTTTCTAATTATGTTTTAATAAAAATATCAGTAGCTACATCATATTGCGTGTGTTAAGAAAAAAAATTATAATCCTCACCTGATTCTATGATGTATATAGGTAGAGGATGATCTCTGTCTACAATGACCACGAATTGAAAAAACATTGGATCATTTTAGACAAACAAGGTATTTACTTGTCGACTATTGGCTTTTAAAACGTCCTTCTTTTTCCACTTGGTATCTATTAGTGACTATATTACAGAGAGAGTTGAGGAAAAAAAGTAAAGTTACGGATTCATTTTGCTTATTTTTTTGATTCCTTTAGCGCATGCATACGTGTTGCCAGCTGATCACTTGTTGTTTTTTCTAAATCTGATGACATGTCGTGTCATTGCCACGTTTCTTAAGTCTTTTGACAAAAAGTTGAAGAAAAGAAAAAGTCGCATAATAGGTCGTGGAAAAATTGTATCATACTTATATATAGTAATCTGAAGCCTTTTTACTTTCTTATTCGCAGCTGATATTTGACTCATACTTCGTAGATTTTTTATTTGGGGGGCGGGGGGGGGGGGGGGGGGGGGGGGGGGGGGGGGGGGGGGCGGGGGGGGGGGGG